GTGAGAGAGCTTTCCCTCAGCACTTTATCATAATTAAGTGACTCACTGGAGGAAATCTGGTTGTTTAAGAGATAAATGCAAATTTAGTCTTCGGCGCACGTCCCCCTCCCCCCGCAAAAATCTCACAGTTGAGAGCCAGATGAGTTTTGTCTTTCAAGACATTTTTGTTGGTTCACGGGCCACGAGAGTGAGGTCTTCTTGGAAAGGCTGGGCCCATTCCCCTAAAGAGAATTCTTCCAACGTTTCCTTAGGTTTGTGTGAAAATCTGTTCACTGAATGAGCTTCCCTACTTTCAGAACGGTTTATGAAGACTCAGGACCTGGGAGGCCCCTGAGCTGCTACATGGAAGAGCCAGCCCCATATACGGACAGCACAGGAGCTGCTGGTGGAGGGAACTGTAGATTTGTGGAATCCCCTGGCCAGGATCAGACGTTGCAGGTCCAGCGATTGCGGGGTCCTGATGTAAGAAGCCATGTCCAGACACCCCAAAATAGGCCCCATGGCCATCAGTCACCATCACCAGACCTGCCTGAAGGCTATGGTGAGTTTGAGTAGGGTTGCTACCCGTTCCTATCCTGGGAATCCCAAGGCAAGGCCGAATGATGGGGTGTTGGGGAGAGGCCTGTATGTCCTGTCGTGTGCCCAGAAATGGCACAGCCTCATTTTGTGGACTTCTCTTGTATGGGATTTTTCACTGGGAACTGTAGCTCTAAGTTTCACCCGCCCCCCCGAGATGTTTATGTTTATTGATGTGTGATTGGCTTTTGTCTAAGAGGCAGAATAAGTGGGAGGGTTTTTCCGGGAGCTGGCCAGATGGTAGTTTAACATGGTCAGTGTTGTATTTCTCAAATGACTATATCAGTATTTTGCAGCTGGACTGTTCACATGGCATATTGGCAAGCAAATATTAAAACCAGATTGTCGTGATAGTTGGGAGGGAACAAGGCAAATATTTTGCAGCTCCTAAAACAGCTGCGCAATAAAATATAAATAACAAACAAAAAAGACCATATATTGCTCCAATAGAGCACCAGTTTTCTGAATGAGCAATAAATAAAAACGAGGAAACTGTGATACGCTTCTTCTTGGTGTTGCTGTTCTCCTGCCCTAACAATGACAAACTGTCCTTCAAAAGTAAGAAAAGCAGATGAACCACTGCCTTAAGCTTTAGCTCACTCTTGCTTGGTCTGGCTTTAGCCACAAGGCTTTGTATGGGATTTGGATTTAGTGTCTTTTTTCCTTTTCTGTCTCTTTAGAGCAAAGGACAACAGTACAGGGACAAGTTTACTTTTTGCATACACAAACTGGGGTTAGCACCTGGCACGATCCCAGGATACCAAGGTAGGTGGATTCGCCTCTTTGGAGTTCATTTGGATTTTGGCAGGAAGTTAAATGGCACGGCCTTGGCTTTGGAATGTCATTCCCTCTCCATGGATGCTTTTTAGTGCCTTTGGATCCTAAGATTTCGAGATTTGAAAATGTATCTCTTTTCTGTAGACATGCTCAAATAATTTAGGATAATGTTGGTGTTGAGCTAAACCTGGTTCCTCTTCCTTTTTTTTTTTTTTTGCAGAGACCTTAACAGTGTGAATTGTGATGAACTTGGACCTCTACCTCCAGGCTGGGAGGTTAGAAGTACAGTATCAGGAAGAATATATTTTGTAGATCATAATAACAGGACCACACAGTTCACAGACCCAAGACTGCATCACATAATGAAGTACGCCACCACTAAGTTGCTGCTTGATTTTGAGGCTGAGAATTAGAACAAGATTAGTCCTGTCAGGACCCTGTAAATACTATGCAGGGAGCTAGTGCAGTAGTAAGGTGCATGAGGAAGTATCATTTCAATATGTTTTGGGAGCCCTAAAAACAGATTCCGTTAAGCAAATGTTGAACCATGAATGACAGGGAAGGTGCGTTGAAACCTTTTTACAGCAGGTTGTTCCCACTTCGAATGCTGCAGTACGAGTCAGTCTTATTGTGGAATAATTGAACTACCTTTTAAAGGGTGCCACCAAGGATGCTAGGCCTGCTGCAGCAGGTGATACGGCTTCCCCTATGAAGCTTATTAGATGTTTGGATCATCACTGTCATTTTGTAATTCTTTTGGTGGGGAATTGCAGGGTCAACCCATCTAGAAGGTGCCACGTTGCTTGAAAGAAATGAAAAATCTGTCTGATTGTCTTTGGTGAACTGTTGCTGTCAAGAAACGAATCTCTCTCCCCTCCCGTTATCACCTTTAAAGCCCTATGTGGCACGAGACCAGGTTATTTGCAGGACCATGTCTCCCTGAGAGTATCTGCCTGTCCTACCAGATGGGATAGGGTAGGCATGCTCCAGTTCCCTTCCCTGAAATGTTGCCATCTAGTGGGACCTCCAAAGTGTGCCTTTTCCGTGGCTGCCTCTACCTTATGGAACACCCTCCCCCCCTGCAATCCAGCAGACCCTCACCCTTTTAGCCTTTTGGAAGGCCATCAGGACCTGGCTTTTTATCCAGGCTCTGGGGTAGAGTGAGGATGTCTGGAGCTGGTTGTGGGGCACCCCAAAGGGATGATTGAGGCCTGGAGTTTGGGTTGTGTTTTATGGTTTTTAGAGGTCAGGATTTTATTGTTGTTGTTGTGAGCCATCCAGAGTTGTGTTTTTAGATGGTGGCCGTAGAAATCTTTTAAATAAGCACACACACACACTACCATTGCCTTATTCTTCCTTTTCTGTTTTTGAAAGTAATGTCTTGTCTTCCTTTCCTTCCCCACTTAAGCCACCAATGCCAACTAAAAGAACCCAACCAGCCTTTGCAAGGACCAAATGAGGGGTCGCTGGAAGACAGCGAGGAGTTGCCTGCTCAGAGATACGAGCGTGACTTGGTGCAGAAGCTGAAGGTCCTCCGTCATGAACTCTCCCTCCAGCAACCCCAAGCTGGTCACTGCCGCATTGAAGTATCGAGGGAAGAAATATTTGAGGTATGTAAATGTGAGCTTAGGTGAAAAGGATCTGGATTTCATCTGTAGGCAGTAAGATGCACTCCGTTCCTGCCAGGCCTAAATGTATAAGAAAGCTGTTGGTGTTTTTCAGGTCCAAGCTAGAAACTGGTGGATCTGATATGTCCAAGTACTTGGTGTTTTCATTTATTTGTGATTTGCCTTTCCAGTGGACCAGTGCAGTAACTGCAACGCACCTCTGATAGCTAAGAATATCAGTTTGGTTCATAAAAGGCAGTCTGCCCCAGTTTTACACCATGCCAGTTCCCCAAGATGCTCAAGCAACTTGTTGAGTATCAAGAACAAAACCACGTTTAGATAAGGAATAGCTGAAAGGTTCTCCTTTTTCTCGAATTTTAGGTAGAAAAGAGATGCGTGGAGTTCAGCTGCTTTGGGTAAAATAATGTTTTTGTTTTTGAAAAAATCATGCTTCTGTTTCTGTATGTAGGAATCTTACCGTCAGATAATGAAGATGAGGCCAAAAGATCTGAAGAAGAGACTGATGGTGAAATTTCGGGGAGAAGAAGGCTTAGATTATGGTGGAGTGGCAAGGTAAATGCCAGGATCCTAAAGGGGCTTGTATGGAGCGAAGGGTACCTTGACAGGGAGCTCCAGATATTGCAGTTATAAATACAAGAAATCATGGTGGCTCCAATGAAAAATGGCTGCTTTGGAAGGTAGTGGTTTAATATTAATGAAAAAGGTTTACCAAGTACCTGGGTCCTCCTTTCCCTCTGGCATAGCTTTTAGAAGACATCAGAATCAACCACTTCTTTTTTGGAATAATTGCAGTTTAACAAGATGTCCAAAAGCCCCTCTGTGATTAAAACAGAGTTGACTGAAACATACCAGTTTTTATTCATTCAGATTGGCTTGTTGAGTAAATCATAATTACAGCTAAGTGTATTACACCTATGAGCTAAACAAGCCACACCTATCTTAAGATAGACATAAAGGTTTCTAAGAGTTTGCAGCAGGGAAGGAGGAACACATGACCCTAAGACTCCCCAGGCTATTCCTTATAATGCTGTCCTGTGATTTACCTTAGTATGAATGCAGGTATAGCATCCCTGAGATTCATGTAGTTGTAATAATAGCAATCGTGTTTAAGCAGACGAAGGCTGACTGTACATCGGAATCAGTTCAGTGGGGTACACACAAAGACAGGTTCTTCCTGTCTCCTGATCCACCTGCTTTGGGGGTTCTCACCCAAGAATGTGGCTGTATTTCTTCCTGGCATCCTGTTGTAATGCTGATCACTCTCTTGCCTCAAGCTCCCATTTCCTGGGTTTGGCAGCTGAATCCATCAGCAACTAAATTGCCACTAAAAAACCTTTTTCTTTCTTTCTTTCTTTCTTTCTTTCTTTCTTTCTTTCTTTCTTTCTTTCTTTCTTTCTTTCTTTCTTTCTTTCTTTCTTTCTTTTTTTGTGGTTCCTTTTGTCTAACTGTACTGATAATGTTCTTTAATTTTATTCTCCAGTCTGGGAGTTCTCTCCTTTTGACCTCTCCCTTGTCATCACCGCTGTCTTGCAAGAGTTTCAGTGTTTCTTTATCTTGTCTGCACTTTAATACTGTCTAGACAAATGCTGAATCCTCTAACGTGCCTTAACCAGATGTCTCCGTTTGGTTTGGGGTGGGGTAGGCAGAAGATCCCCATTATGCAATTAAGCTACTCTCTTATCTCAGGTATTTAGCTCATCACATACCATGACCATCTACCTTCCCACAAAAAGGAATCATCACAGTTCTTTAAAAAAAAAACCAAACTTCCTATAAAAGATAGCTGTTGTTATTAGTTTATTTTATTTGTTTAAATTTATGGGCCACCCAACTGCAGTGGACTCTGAATGGCATACAAAAATAGGGAAACCCCCCCCCACATAAAAACGGCTAAAAAAAATTAAATCAGACAACCCAGACTAAAATGATCTAATGAACAACAAAATCAACAAAACAAAACAGGGGCCATTAAAGAAATAATAAACATCACCCCGGGCCTGGAACAAAAGCCAGATTTTCAAAGCTTTCTAGAACCCTAGGAGAGGGGGCACCATCCTGATCTTTGGAGGAGTGCTGTCCCAGAGGGTGGGGGCCGCAACAGAGAAGGCAGCTTGCTAGGTCCCACAAGATGTCAGTGTTTAATGGAGGGGACCTGGAGCACGCCCACTCTGCTGGAACATATTGGGTGGGCTGAAACAATTGGAGTCAAGCAGCATCTCAGATATCCAGGCCCTCTGCCCTGCAATTATTCCTTCCTTTAACCATTCTTCTTTTGGTCTTATTTTTCCGAACTATAGCATTTACAAGAGTAAATAATATGAATAAAGAGCACTGGATGTGTCAGATTAATAGTACAGATTATTATTGGGGACAATTTTTTATTTTTTCAACTAATCCTTGAGTAAAGCTTGTAATTTTTTCAGACTCTCATTTTTTTAAAAAAGGTAATTGGTTTTTTATGGTCTCTTCTTACAGTGTTTCCTGTTGAATACCCTTCCTTAATATAGGAAGGAGGAATCAGAAAAGCTGACAGTGTTGCGATTAGACACTGATCCACAATATTTTTCTTACATTTTGGCAATCTTGCTAGCTGTATATGTAGTCAGCCTTTTTCAGAAGTGTCTTACGCTGTCGCATAGACCAGTGTTTCTCAACCTCAGCAACTTTAAGCTGTGTGGACTTCAACTTCCAGAATTCCATAGTCAGCATGTGTGGCTGGGGAATTCTGGGAGTTGAAGTCCATACATCTTAAAGCTGCTGAGGTTGAGAAACACTGTCATAGACCATCACCAAGTCATGGAAACTAATCCAGTTTCTGAAGTGGGGTAAACTTTAACCTTCATTTCTCCCCCCACTCCATCTCTTCTAATCTTGTTAAAAATTATGTCTGGCAGGGAATGGCTGTACCTTCTGTGCCATGAAATGCTAAATCCATATTATGGGCTTTTCCAATACTCAACTGATAACATTTACACGCTGCAAATAAATCCAGATTCCTCCATCAACCCTGTAAGTATTCTAAAAGCCAAGGATCTGTTTGTGTTATTTGAAGATGTATGTTAGAAGGAGCAACCATCTCTGAAACCAGGGGAACTGTATTGGGCAAAGTTCAATGATCAGTTCTCAGCATTATATTATTTATTTTATTTATTTATCAAGTTTATGTGGTCGCTCATCTCACAAAAAGTGACTCTGGGTAGCATACAACACTTAATGCTTGTTTTTATATTTTTATTGCTTTAATTATTTAAAAATGTAAAAAAAAAAAAGCACAAGGCACAGAGGTTGAATGTTAACCACAGTTAACCACATATTACAGTAGAGACTATAGCTTCCTGTGCTAGGTAGCAAAGCCCTTTTGAATTGGAGAAATTTCAGAGCAGTTTGAAAGGTGGCGTAGATGAAAAGTGGTGTAGAGTAGGGGATTCATAATGGTGCTCACAAGGCCCCCAGATTAAAAGAAATACATTTTAATGTCTCTAAGCTCTTGAGGTGGTCAAATTCCCCAAGATTAGTACTCTTGCGTGAGTTCTTTCGAGACCACACAGATGAAATCTTGTGGAATTTGGACCCTTTGACGTTTTAAATTTAAATTAACGTTTCATGTTGGGGCGGAGCACTGCCTGTAAAGGTTGCCAATCCCTGCATTTTTTCTCCTGTTCAGAATCTAAATAAGGTCAAACAGTTCACTGAGAATAAGGCAAATGCTTTTGAGTGCTTCTAAGTAGGCCTTTGGTCTTGAACTGTAAACTCTGTGCAGATATTGAAACTCTGCATAAAACAACGGACTTTGGCAGCTCCCTCACGTTTGCACAGCTGGCATCTTTTTAATTTGATTTTCTGTACATTCTGCAAACCGATTAATGTCTATTTTATCTTTACGCAAGAAGGTTGCTCTTTGACATCCTCGAGAAACCCCATGCATTGAAAAAGTGCAAAAATGAAAACAGTCCAGTTGAGGACTGTGTATAATCAATGGTTGCCATCATGTGTGAGGAGATTTGAGTGAAGTGAAGTTGTGAATGAAGATTGGTTAGAGATGTACCGGCACTGTGATCTTCCCAAGGAGCGCTTCACTTTAATTGTTGAGTTTGCTTTGCTTGAGTTTGCCCTCCAGTAGTAACTACCATCTCTTTTAACCTGGCATTTAAGATGAATCACTCTGCTTCTGGCTAAACACTTGCTGACATCAAGCCCCAAGGACAGGAGGCTAAGGAGATGCTAGGTGACTCTTCAGTGAGACATAAGGATTGTTCCAACTTCTTACAAGTGGCTGATTAGTGAAAAACTATCTCAGTGTCTCTCAGCCTCAGCAACTTTAAGACATGTGGACTTCAATTCCTAGAATTCCCCAGCCAGCATGTGTGGCTGGGGAATTCTGGGAGTTGAAGTCCACACATCTTAAAGCTGTTGAGGTTGAGAAACGCAGGTCTACCTATAGTGTAAAAACATAATTGTACTGAATGAAATAGCATAAATACTGCATTCAGAGGGTGTTGATGCTTCTCAGCCAGAGGATTTGTGATAATGAAATGAAACCTTTATTACACTAACTAAAGTCTGGCAACAAGCAACTGTGGAGCCCCAAGATGTCAGGTGCAGGCATCTCTTCCAGCGAATGAAGTCTTGTGGTTTGGCATGTCTTTCAGGATCATCTGTCTTACTTCCACTTTGTCGGTCGAATAATGGGGCTGGCGGTATTCCATGGGCACTACATCAACGGGGGTTTCACAGTTCCTTTCTACAAACAGCTGTTGGGCAAACCCATCCAGTTATCTGACCTGGAATCCGTTGATCCAGAGCTACATAAGAGCTTAGTTTGGATTTTGTAAGTATTCCGTCCAATAATATATAATGTTTTGACTGGACCAGGAGGACCAGCTCCATTGAAAAAGCTTCCGTAACCTTGATCACTGGTGCCTACATAGATCTTAAAGCTGCTTTAGGGAAGGTAGGTACTTAAGGGTTTCCAAAAGTGCCCAGCAAAAAGTTGGAATAACTTTTATAAACAATCAGCAGTGAGACTTCTGGATAACTGTTTGATAGGGGGAAATAGTCCTTTAACTTCATTAGAAAACTGTTCAGCTTAATTCTGATTCTGGATTGATCTGATCTGCATGCTATTGCTAAATTAATCTTCAGCCAGGCAAAAGAACTAGCCTTGCTCATAACAGAGGCATGGAAAACTGCTTTAAATTGCTGGGTATCTCTGGAAGTCAACAGACAGTACTTCAAAGGAATAGCTTTGGGGACAGAGTTTGATCATAAAAGATCTTTTTATTTTGTATTCACGATGTATCAGCTGCACAGTAATATTCCTGTACGCGGTTGATAGAAATAACTTTGAATACATCAATAAGCACCACAATAAAAAAATAACAGCATAGTTTTTTCTCTGCAAGGAGAAATATTAAAACCCACACAGCAGCACAACTGTCTAGTATGGATCAACCACAGAGAGTTCTGCCATTAAAATTACATGTTTAAATAGGTCTGGGTAAACAAAAAATACCTTCACCTGCAGAAATGACTTGTAGACATTGTGTTCTTGTTGACAGAGAGAATGACATCACTCCAGTTCTGGACCATACTTTCTGCGTGGAACACAACGCTTTTGGCAGAATTCTGCAACATGAACTCAAACCGAATGGGAGAAACGTTTCTGTTACGGAGGAGAACAAGAAAGAATATGTCAGGTACCCTCAGGGAAGGGTGATTTTTCCCCTGTCAATGAGATGGTGACAGCCCAACAAGATAGATCAGACCAAGATACCAGTACCATGTAGTCAGGACTACTTCTGTTGGAACAGCTATAGCAACAGAATCTTGCAAGTCTGAATGTGCTTCCTCCTCCCTCAGCTTATCTTTTTGTGAACTAGGGAGGGGCTTGTCTGAGACGTTTTCTCAAGTTATTTTCTTGGCCTGGGCTCAAGTACCACGTGTCAGCTGTTGCCTTGGTAGTGGCTCTTCCTCCTGTCCTTCAAGGCCGTTCCCGATGCCCTCTACAGATGGCATAGCTCTCGTTCTCTTCTTTTTTTTCAGTTGTGCACAAGGAATGCAGAACTTCTGTAGTGCAGCAAGTGAGGTTGGTGTCCTCTCTGGGTGCCCCACGTGCTCGCTTATTGCTGCAGAGATTCTGCTTTTGACTTTAAAATCTAGTTGCAGCGGCAGCATCCAGAACTATCAGAGGTAGGGCAGTGATGCACTGTTTCTGCCGAAGGCATGTTAATCTGCCTTCCATTTGTCCTGCAGCATAGGGGAGATTTCAGTTTTTTTGAAAAAAAGAAGGAAAATCTTTATTACAGTCACTGACCAGCAAGTTAGTTGGATTTATAAAAGAATAGAAAAGCAGAGTGCAAGGACCTATAGCGTAAGTAGAGAAAATATAAATGTTGTCCAGAGAAGACAATAAGGCCCCAAATGTTTTTAAACTATCAGTAGGAATGCGTAAAGCAGCTTACTGCAACTCAGTGAGTACAGGTAGCAGGATACTAAAAACAAAATCCGAGTAATGGAAACAAAATGCTAATTAATAAAATACTTCAAGCGTAAAACACTAAAGTTCTACCTCTGAAATGTTAGACTTTTAAGTAAGTATATAGAAACATGAATTAATGTGAATGTAAATATAAGTAAGTGAGATTGTATATCGGTCAGTGACAGAGGAGATAAAGCCTGGGCACAGTGTGATCTAAAAAACGATAAAATTGTACACTAATGAAATGAGAGCATAGAATGTGAAACTGTTCATAAAAAAAGAAATTAGATGGTGTTTATGAGGGATGGGAATTTAAGGCGGTGTCTGAAGCTACAATACGTTAGTGCCATCTCTCTCTCTCCTCCCTCCTCCCCTTTTTTCCCCCCTCCAACAAAACTTATACTGATGTTTGGTCTAGGGATGTTGGATATAGAGCAAGGTGAGGACATGCCTCCTCCATTTATGGGGATTAGACCTGTGTTAAGTACCAGTTCACTCCTCTTGGAGATGTGCCTATTGAATCAAGTCTGAACTTGTCTAGGCTCAGAAGCTAAACACCATTAGCCACACTGCTGCTTGCCTGGTAGACCACAAAAGAATATCAGAGACTCAACAGAACTGGAACGATTTCCCCAAAGAGACTGCTTCTGATGCTACTGAGAATACCATGTGGATGTGTTCATGAAGGGTTTAAACTTTCTTCAAAGGAGACTTGTTTTTTTTTCTTTAGACAACCTGTGACTTCTTGAGGGGCAGATTTTATATCCACTTGCAAAATTCTTACCATTCCAGAGCATCATTCTCAGATTTAACATTCTACTTCCCAGGTTGTATGTGAACTGGCGGTTCATGAGAGGGATTGAAGCCCAATTCTTGGCCCTTCAGAAAGGTTTTAATGAACTTATTCCTCAACACCTGCTGAAGCCTTTTGACCAGAAGGAACTTGAGGTATCCGTTGCATATTTCAGGCTAACTCCTGCTGTGGTTCATGTGGCCCCAAAAGTGAAAATAACTTTACATACGTTCTCCTTGTTCTGAATTTATGTGGCAGATAGGATTCTGTCCAAAATGAATTAGGAGCAATGCCCAGAAAGCTTAATTTTGAAGAGTATTTCTTAACTGGAGACCTTGACTGGGCAAGTTCAAATCTGGGGCAGTTTCAATACTTTCATAGTGACATAGTGACAAGCCTTTCATAGTGAAAAAAGAATGATCTCCTGCCTATTTATTATCTGTGGTCTTCTGTAGTTGCTAGGGAGAATGGGAGGGTATGCAGAAGCAAAATCCTAGTAGAGAAGTGGGAGATTCCAGTGCTTCAGTCTTGAAAGCACAGAAGCTACAGTTGTGTTTTGGTTCATTTTCCTTTAGGAAATTTTAGGAAATAAATTAGGAAATTTAGTCAATTTCCTAAGATTTTTTTCAGAGCATATGACTGGTGGCTTAAGAGTAAAATAGGTTTTAAAGCTGTCATAATAGCCATTGAAAGCAGTTTCTGGTTCCTAACTTGGAAAAATCCTGAAATATCAGACCGCTTGGATCGGCTGATTTGTCCTCTCTCACAGTGTTTCCCACCCTGGACAACTTTAAGATGTGTGGACTTCAATTCCCAGAATTCCCCAGCCCGCCCCCCCGTGCTGTGGCGATTGGGGGGGGGAGAGCCCCCACACCCAAAATTTTCCAGGGGGG